ATTTAAGGCAATCAATTTGCCTTTCCAACCTTGGTTACCCCTGTAGTCATTACTCTTCCCAACTGTAGAACTTTTAATTCCTGACTCTTCCCAAAATCTTCTCAGAGCATAAACTCTGGTTCCTTTGGGGGTATTGGGTGTTTTTATTATACTCCTTTCCCCGTTCTCTCTGCTTTTATGGTCTTTTGTGGGTGTGAGAGGATGGGGGTGAAGTCCTTATTTTCCTGGGCCCCTTCCAGTGTCCTGGCCTTGGCCTTCAGTGACAATTTTGTCTATTTCCTCCCCACTTCCTTTATAGGTTTCGCTCTAAGTACCACCCAGATGAGGTGGGAAAACGCCGTCAGGAGGCCCGGGGGGCCCTACAAAACCGACTGAGGGTGTTCCTGTCCCTCATGGAGAGCGGCTGGTTTGATAATCTTTTCCTGGACATAGACAAAGCTGATGCCATTGTCAAAATGCTGGATGCAGGTGTGCAGTCTGGTTGGGCAGTGGGTATCTTGTGATCAAGGTCTTAGTTGGGAAACAGGTAGGTTGACAGAAAGCCAGAGGCTGAAGGCCAGGGCCCTTGGATTGTGACTTTTATTCCCTTTGCTGGTAGCCGTGATTAAGATGGAAGGAGGTACAGAGAATGATCTACGCATCCTGGAGCAGGAGGAGGAGGAGGAACAGGCAGGAAAGCCTGGGGAACCCAGCAAGAAGGAGGAAGGCCGGGTTGGATCAGGCCTTGTGGATGGAGAGCGCAAAGTCAATGAGAAGGAAGACAAGAAAGAAGATGGCAAACAGGTTAGTGTTGGGGCCCCTGGGTGCTGCTGGTGAGTGCCTGGGGAAGAGAATGGAGCTGTTTCATTGGTGGCGGGGTCCATAGGAGTTAGAAGTAGAGGGCTCTGTACTGGGGTAGGGGAGAGGTGGACTTGCGGGCTCAGCTGTTGAAGTGGAAGGGGTTGATGAGGAGATAGATATCCCAGTGACTGTCTTTACCTGTAGGCTGAAAATGGCAGTGCTAGTGATGACAAAACTAAGAAATCTGAGGGTGATGGGGACAAGGAAGAGAAGAAAGAAGACTCTGAGAAAGAAGCCAAAAAGGTAGGGACTCTCTTAAGTGGAGTTAATGTTAGGTAGGGCAGAGGTCCTTGTTATCTGGCTCATGTCCTCTTGCCATGGCTCCCACAGAGCAGCAAGAAGCGGAATAGGAAGCACAGTGGTGATGACAGCTTTGATGAAGGCAGTGTGTCAGAGTCGGAGTCAGAGTCAGAGAGTGGCCAGGCTGAGGAGGAGAAGGAGGAGGCCGGTAGGTTGTACTTTCTGCTTATCCATATGAACGGTGGGGTAGGTGAGAAGTTGGTGAAATTGATGGGATGGTGGTCTCTTGGGAGAGACTGAGTGGTGGGGTGGGAGTTTGACAGCTTTTCTGTCCTCTCCAAAACCAACAATAAAAACTCACCAAGTCCCACCACTTCCTGTGTAGAAGAAACACTCAAGGAAAAGGAGAAACCCAAGGAGGAAGAAAGGGAGAAGCCCAAGGACACTCCTGGGCTGGAATGTAAACCCCGGCCTCTGCATAAGACTTGCTCTCTCTTTATGCGCAACATTGCACCCAACATTTCCAGGGCTGAGATAATTTCTGTGAGTGGGGAAAAATGGCATTGGGGGCAGAGACAACACCCAGGCTCCATTCTTTCAGGGGTGGGGGGAGGCACTAGGTGGAGAGAGCATAATCTGGCAGTGCTTCTAACACTCATCACTATTTCTCTAACAGGGAGGCTCCCTTCCCGTGGGCCCATGTCTTTTGAGGGCTGGTCCTGGTTGTACCATTTACTTTCAAGTGCTACTCTTAAGTTCTTGTTTTTTCCTTATCTGAGTAGAGGCTTATAGGCAGTTCCTTAGGGTTCTGAGGACATGGGGTTTGAAGAAAGAAGTGAATCCTTGAATCACTAAGTGGAGTTTCTGTTCCTCTGCCTTTCCAGCTTTGTAAAAGATATCCAGGCTTTATGCGTGTGGCACTATCAGAGCCCCAGCCTGAGAGGAGGTGAGGAATGAGAGAAGTCTGAACCTGGGTAATTGGAAAGGTGCAGGGGAAGGTTACTGGTTAGCATCACCTCCACTCCAGGATTATGTTGACATCTTTGTTCTTGTTTAGGTTTTTCCGTCGTGGCTGGGTGACATTTGACCGCAGTGTTAACATCAAAGAAATCTGCTGGAATCTGCAGAATATTCGAGTGAGTGCTGGGAGCCAGACTGTTTTGAGGAAGAGGTGTGGCTCTGTATGCTGCACACCTCTTACTGCTTTTTTCGTTGTTTGCTTCTTTCATTTTGCTTCCTATTTCATCCATTCAGTCCGCTCACATTAATTGTGTACTGTTGTCTGTGGGCTAGGCCCTGAGACTGTCCTCAGGGAATTCACAGTCTGATCACTGCTCTCAATAGGGCCAGTCTTCTGGTGTTGGTAAGCTTTCTGTACCTTCCAGCTCCGGGAGTGTGAGCTGAGTCCTGGCGTGAACAGAGACCTGACCCGTCGTGTCCGAAATATCAATGGCATTACCCAGCACAAGCAGATAGTGCGCAATGACATCAAGCTGGCAGCCAAGCTGATCCATACGTTGGATGACAGGACCCAGCTCTGGGCCTCTGAACCTGGGACACCTCCTCTGCCAACAGTCAGTGACTCTCCATAGAACTTTTTCAAAAGCAGCCAATACCCCCTCATCTGTGGGCATCTCTGATCTTACATGATCTGTGGCATTGACCCTTTGTGCTTTCCTGCTTGTTGGCCCCTCTTTAGGCAGCACCTCCAGCTTGCAGCAGAACAGATTGGTGTTAGTGACTATTTGTGGGCTATGGTAGAACAAATACAAACATGAAGATAAATCCCAAGGCAGTGATAATAGGCCAAGTGAGCCTTGAATTCTTTCAGCCTCACTTTGCCTTTCAAATTAGGTTCCTAGGCTACATACTCAGAGGGTCTTTCTATGTCTCACTTGCCTCTCTTCTCCCTCTCAACTAGAGTCTGCCCTCTCAGAACCCAATTTTGAAGAATATCACTGACTACCTGATCGAGGAAGTGAGTGCTGAGGAGGAAGAACTGCTGGGGAGCAGTGGGGGGGCACCCCCTGAGGAGCCTCCTAAGGAAGGGAACCCAGCAGAGATCAACGTGGAACGAGATGAGAAGCTGATCAAGGTGCCAGCAAGAGCAGAGGGTGTAGTGAGAGCCTGGCTCAGGGTGGTAAAAGGCATGAGTATGATGAACTCATACTTTCTTGTTTTCTCCTAGGTTTTAGACAAACTACTCCTCTATTTGCGCATTGTGCATTCCCTGGATTATTATAACACGTGCGAGTACCCCAATGAGGATGAAATGCCCAACCGCTGTGGCATCATCCATGTTCGGGGACCCATGCCACCCAACCGCATCAGTCATGGGGAAGGTGAGCTCTTTGCCTGAGTTCCCTTTGGTTCCCCTTTCTCCCCAGCTACCTCTAGTTTTTCACTCTGGAGCAGTGCTCTGTCACTTTTTCCTCTAATCTCCTTTCATATTCCTTGGCCCTGGCTCACTTCTCCAACCTGCCATCTGTCTTTGTTCCCAAACTACAGTATTAGAGTGGCAGAAGACATTTGAGGAGAAGCTGACTCCGCTGCTGAGTGTGCGGGAATCTCTTTCAGAGGAAGAAGCCCAGAAGATGGGTCGAAAAGATCCTGAACAGGAAGTGGAAAAGTTTGTCACCTCTAACACCCAAGAATTGGGCAAGGATAAGTGGCTATGCCCTCTCAGTGGCAAGAAATTCAAGGTCTGGGATGTTAAGAGAGTTGTGGGACAGGTGGGAGGAGTGGGTTGAGCCAGGAATCTGCCTCCAGACCTGGAAGGAAACATCTTTGGGACCAGGTGGGAGGGGAGGGTGATTATCTTGGGGTATGGGGAGCTAGGGAACTGCTTGCTCAGTTCTTATCCTCTCCTCTTGGCATCCAGGGCCCTGAGTTTGTACGCAAACATATCTTCAACAAGCATGCAGAGAAAATTGAGGAAGTAAAGAAGGAAGTGGCATTTTTTAACAACTTTCTCACTGATGCTAAGCGTCCAGCTCTACCCGAGATCAAGCCAGCTCAGCCACCTGGCCCTGCCCAGAGTAAGATACGATCCATGAGGGTCTACCACATTCCCTCACCCCTGACAGTTGAAGGATTCCTGGTTCTTTAAACAGTTGCACCCTGAAATTTCTTTCTTACCCTCAGGCTTTATTCCTAAAAGCCAGTCGTCTGTGTCCTCCTGCCCCCCCCCCCCCCCCCCCAGTAATTCATGTTCCTGTCTGTGTTGTACTCCCCCCAGGTCTGACCCCAGGACTCCCCTACCCACACCAGACTCCCCAGGGCCTGATGCCCTATGGTCAGCCCCGGCCCCCCATTTTGGGCTATGGAGGTAAGTATAGGAAGGATTTCAAAGGGCTTTGTGGTTTTGAGGGGCTGGGGGAAAGAAAGCAACTAAAATGTAGTTGAAGTAATAGACAGGTTCTCAGCTCAACACTGATCTTCTTTATAGCTGGCGCTGTCCGCCCTGCAGTCCCCACAGGAGGGCCTCCATACCCTCATGCCCCTTATGGTGCTGGCCGAGGGAACTACGATGCCTTCCGAGGCCAGGGAGGTTATCCTGGGAAACCTCGCAACAGGTGAGAATGAGCTAAGATGTCCAAGTTTTATTGCCTGCTTCAAATTGGGACCCTCAACTCTCATCCCATTTTACCTCTTTCTTACCTCACAGGATGGCCCGTGGAGATCCACGGGCCATTGTGGAATATCGTGACCTGGATGCTCCAGATGATGTGGATTTCTTTTGAGCCATCTACTTTTCCTCACTCTTGGTATCCTATACTTACGACTGCTGTGTCCCATCCAGCTCTGAAAATTTTTTGTACGTCCAGCCCTACTGCCAATAAAAGCACTTCTGCATTGACTCCTGAGTACATATTATATACTTGCCAAGATCCTCCCAAATATTGGCTGGGACAGTGGTTAAGCTGGGCCTTGCCATTTTATTGATGCCAATGGTCCCAGGCTCTACTGGGGCTTCCTGGAGGCTTAACATTGGGCATTGTCTAAGCCTCTGCCTTTTGAGAATAGGTAGGTGAGTGTGAGGGACCAGAGTCTCAGTTCCAGGGACTTTGCCTCAGTTCTGGACGGGCAGCTATTTTTCAGAGTTACGGCTGGTCCAACACAGGTTGTAGAAGGAGTTGGGGTCAAAAGTTGTGTTCACCTCCTGCCAGCCCACCCACCCAGCAGCCTGTAGTTCACTGGGGTTTTTCGGAGCACCCCAGCAGTGAGGGTCCAATACTAGGACGTAGGCTTCAATGCCTGGCCCCAGGCAGACTCCCAGCAAGGCTTTGGACCGTGCATCCACATCCCCCCCAACCATTACAGGCCCCCCACCTCCTGTGAAGTGGGAATAAAGCCTCTCCAGTTCCCCCCGAAGCCCAGCTCCACGGGGAACGTGGCATAGGCGCCCCTGGGGCCCTCTGAAGTGGTCGAGACAGAGACTGGCCTCTACGCAACCGATCCAGCTGCGGGAGCCCCGAAACCCAGGGGGCTTGTCGCCCATGTCCTCCAGTGCCATCTGCACGTCCACCAACGTGGGTACGCCCGCAGTTTGGCCATCTGGCCACGAGCATAGCGTCTGTAGGGTGCGGTATCCGCAACCCCAGCCCCGGTCGTCCAGACCGTCGCAGCCGTAGTGATAGTAGAGGTAGTGGCCCGAAAGGATGGCCAAGCGAACGGGGCCATGGCCGGGTGGGGCAAGGCCCAGGTGGACATCTTTTAGCAGCTCCAGGGCGGTAGGAGGGAGCGGAGGTTGTTCAGGTAGGGCAGATGTTGCGTCTGGCGGTGTGGGGCCAACTCCAGGGGGACTCGGGCTCCAACACTTACTCTCGGCTTCGGGTCTTCGGCTAGCTGCAGGAAGGAGGGGCAGGCAGGCTTTGGCGACAACCTCTGAGGGCACTGGAAAGCAGTGGAGACCGAGTCGACCGGCAGGGTTCCCACAATGCATTGCTACGCCTACGCCACCCTTACTGCGCAGACGCGAGTTCTGCCTCCCGGGGGCAGTAGAGGGCGCCCGGTATCCCACCTCTAACTGAGCGAGGCCGCAGGTTCCAGCAACCACCCCTCCATTCCCTCAGCCCTAGTGGTTAGGCATTCTGCCAGATCCCGGCTTCCCAACTGCGCACACGCCTTTGGCTGTAACAGTTTATTGGCAGCCCAGAGGGGCAAAGGCACCGTGGGGTAGGGGCTCGGCCGAGACATGCAGAAGACGCAGAAGACTGGGAGCCCCGGGAAAGGGAGGGAATCAGGGTGGGCAAGGTCTAGGGCTCCTCTGTTATATCCCAGCCCTTAGATAAATAATATATACAGCTAGGGGACTGGGAGGGGCAGGCGGGGTGGCGGAACGTGGGGGTCCCGCCTGGGTCACAGGTCTGAGCAGCGATCCTGCTTGCTGTAATGGTCAAACTGGTTCTTCCAGTGCACCATGTAGGAGCTCCAGCGGTGGAACTCGGCCTTCCACTGGCGCTCTGCCTCATCCAGCGTGTCTGCGGCCCGGGCGCCCGGCGAGGGAGTGGGAGGATGACATGGGGAAGGCCAGGGAACGGACATGGGGTAGGGGGCGTGAGTGCAGGAGGACACAAGGAGTAAGTAGGAGACCACGTGGGGTGGTGGAAAGAGGATCAGAATGTAAGAGACGAAAGACCGGGGAAGATGAAGACAGGGGGACCAGAGAAGGATGGTAGGAATGAGGATGGAGGGGTTGAAAATGACCGGAAGACAGGAGCACGGAACGGATCAGGAGGGTGGAGCATCCATGGATTGATGGGGGGAAAAAAGAGACAGAAATGGTTGACGGTTATAGCCCCACTGGGAGGTGCTATCTAGCCCCAGGTCTTCTCTCTCCCCCCAACACCAGGCTCAGGCTCTAAGGAATAACTACAAAAAAACAGAACTGGCTTTTTCATTTGCATTTAAACAAAAGCCTGTGGGTCCCTGAGATGGGTCATAGGTCACCGCTCCCCTTGTCCAGTTTGAGGCTTTCTGAGGGAGGGGGGGCGCTGGGTCGGAGATCCCTGAGTGGGGCCCTTCCCCATGGTCCGACTACTCATTAGAGGAGGGGCCCAGTGAGGCCAGAGGAGGGGAAGAGGCTGTGGTTACAGCCGCGGGAGGCTGGAGAAGAGGAGAAAGAAAAGGAGGGGTAGGGGGAGGCCGGGCCTGGGCCTCGGGGCAGCCTCCCCGTGGGCGGGGCCTGGGCAGGTGCTGGGAGCCTCCGAGGCTGGTGGGGAGAAGAGAGGGGTTATACACCCCGCCGGCTTCCATTACCCACTCTCTCTCCGCTCCCCACTTCTCCCCGCTCTGCTCAGCCCCTGCTCACTGGCCCCTGCGTACCGGTGGCGCTGAGCAATTTGGGTAGGAAGCCATTCCAGAAGGCACAGGCCTGGGCTCGCAGCCCCCGCCGCACCTCCAGCGGCCGCAGGTTGAGGCTCACATACTGCTGCGTTTTCCCCGTGTACGGCGGCCACTGCAGGGCTTTGGGGTTCTGGGGGTCATTGGGGTCCCTGTGGAAGGAAAGGGAAGGCTCAGCCTCAGGCAAGCCCGACTTGCCCTGGGGTTGGGGAATGGAGATGGAGAGAAGGAGGAGGAGGCAGTCTGCTTCCAGACCCCATGCCCTCTTTGCTCCAAGGAGAGCCCCATCCCTTCCCTCCCAATACCGCTTTAATCCTTCTTTCTCTTCTCCAGTATCCCTCAACATCTAGAGTCTTCTCCTTCCTCCTGCCTGCTTTCTGTCCCTCCTCTCCCTTTCCTTCAACATTCCTGCTCCATCGTTGTCTTTGTTTCTCTCATTTTAAAAAATTCATGATTTATTGAGCCCTTACAGTGTAACCATGCCCAGTCCTATCTCTACAAACATCACATTTGCTTTCAACAACACCCATGTGATATTGGATTTATTGTTTCCTTCTTCGGACAGGTAAAATGTGTGCACTGCAGCTAATGAAATCACCACTGATCCAATTGATCCAGCTCTACAGTTCACACTCTTAACTACTGCGGTAACTCCTCTGACTCTCCTGTTCAGCTCTTCTCTGCCTGCCTCGGTTGCTGTCCTTGTCTTTTCAGGATCTGCCACCCCACTTCCTCCTTCCTTCCTGCCCATTCTCCTTGGTCATTCTCTCCCTCCCCTTCTGTCTCCTCTCCTTTCGGAACTTCCCCTTCTCTTTCTAGCCCTTCTCGTCTGTCTCTGCCTGTCTTCCACTTTCTCTCTCCGTCCCCCTGCCTCCCTAGCTCCCAGAGGCCATCCTCCCCTCCTCACTGCTGACCCTGTGCGGGCGAAGTTGGCCCAGTATTTCATCAGTCGCTGGGCAAAGGCTCTCTCCTCGATGGTGTAGTTTAGCGAGGGTTCCAAGGGGAGCCCAAAGATGAATTCAATCTCGTAGCCGTGGGGCACCCCCATCCAGAGGGGCCAGGAGAGCGTAGACGCACGGTGTTCAAAGATGTAGGCATAGACCCGAGCACCCTGGGCGGCCAGTCGCCCAGCCAGTTGGGCCACAGGGCACACGACATTGTGGTCACCCACCACGTTGCTCATGGCCTCTCTCAGGCGTGCTGGGTCCTCAGGGTTCAGCCAGTCTGTGTAATGCAGCACCACGGCCTCGGCAGCCAGGTCACTTGCCTGGGGGACCCCGACCCGCACCCCAGCCAGGAACTGTGCCCGGCTGATGAGAGACTCGTTGTCTTTGCTGAAGCCTGGGGCCCCGTAAACCAGAAAATAGGAGCCCTCATCCTTCACCACACCCACCAGCACCTGGGGGAACAGGAGGAAGTAATGGGAATGGGTGGAGGTGGGGACAGACATGGACAGACACGCAGACAAAAAACCGGAGAGATGAACAGTTACAGATGCAGAACCACAGAGGAAGAGAGTGTGAGATTGGGGAACAGGTGGAGAGAAGGAAAATATATACCCGTATTTTCTTTTCTCTCTGTCCCATTGGCCGCCCCGGGATCAAACCCTCAAGGAAGAGGCGCCTGGGCCTTTGGGGATGGGTCTTGTGGATCCCTCATGCCTGGGTCCCCAGGGGGAGGGTGGGTGGGAGAACAAGCCTAGAGGAACCAGTTCCACCCACTCCAGCCATTAGTCACCTGCAGGCCCTGGAAGTCTCCGGCGTTGATGAGGGCCTCGGGCGTGTCACTGAGGAAGTCTCCGTCTATCACAGGCACAAAAGAGAAGCGGAAGACGCTTTCCTGAGGCAGCACATGCCACTCGTGGTCCACCAGGTCCTGAGCTGGCCGTGTCCGCAGGCAGGCGACCAACTCTGTGTCATTGCTACCGGCCCCACCTGGGGGACAGCCTACAAGGCGGGCCAGTAGTGTGGCCCTTCGGCGGGCCTCTCCCGTGCCCACCGTAGCCCATGGCCCATTGGGTGCACCGCTCTGCAGCACAGCCCTGTGGAACAAGCTCCGGCTGGGTGGGGACAGAAGGTGCATGCCCACAGAGGCAGCACCTGCACTCTCCCCAAACAGAGTCACTGACATTGGGTCCCCCCCGAAGGCTGCTACATTCTCCTGTATCCACTGCAGAGCCAGCCTCTGGTCCAGGAGACCCACATTGCCTGGGGCCTCCCTGCTCCCTGGCAGGGCCAGGAAGCCAAAGGCTCCCACCCGGTAGTTCATGGATACCAGCACAGTCCCCTCCGCTTGGGCCAGGAAGCGGCCATCATACACATCCAGGGAGGAGGCCCCGCTGTAGAAGCCACCCCCATAGATCCAGACGAGGACAGGGGCGGGGGACGCAGGCCGAGGGTATGGTGTCCACACGTTGAGGTACAAGCAGTTCTCACTCAGCTCACGGTTGGGGTTCCACATCTCGGTGCCCTCAAAGCCAGGGTACAAGGTGTCCACGTATTGGTAGCAGACACTTTGGAAGGCGGTGGCATCCAGCACCCCTGACCAGGGCCGCTTGGGCTCCGGTGGCAGGAAGCGACGGGGGCCCACAGGTGGCTCTGCGAAGGGGATGCCCAGAAAAGCAGAGACAGGGCCCCCAGGGGCCATTAGGCGGATGCCCCGAAGATGGCCCCCACGCACTGTCACCAGCAGCTCTGGGTCCTCCGGGTGCTCGGCTTCTGCCCCTCCTCCCAGGAGGAAGAGGAGGAGGAGAAGAAGAAGTGGGGACGCTGGGAAGAGAGTGTGCAGGGGACAGCATGGGGGCCTCATGGCTACCAAGGCAGGCGGGCAGCTGCTGGGAGAAAGAAAGGCAGAGGATGAAGGCCTGAGGCTGGTAGGAAGGAGGTTAGGCAACGCTGCTGCCCGAGGGTTATCTCTAAGCTTCAGAGACGGTGGGGCAGGCTGGCAAAGAGGAAGCGGGAAATGGAGGATGGGAGACAGACCAACAGAGACAAGGACATAGGCAGAGAAGTGAGAGGGGACAGAGATCAGGCACACATACACCCAGACAGACAAATGTAAGGAACAGAGATGAGACCTTCCAAACAATACCCTCCCCTGCCCCACAGAAGACCCACTACCCTCACCTCCTTTCCCCAGCTGGGTGGACTGGTTTGGGCCCAATGCGAGCAGCGCGGGTGCCCGCACCAGAGGCCGCAGTCCACATACTGGCCACAAGACAGGGGCGGGGCCCTCGCTGACGCTAGGCGGATGGGGGCGCCTGCGGTGGCGTGAAGGCTCAGCCGCTTCTGCCGTTGGCCAGGGCCGGGGCCCGGGCCCTGGAGGGTGGGTTGGGCATTCAGGGTGTGGGAACCGCAAGTTCTAGAGCACCCCAAATCCTGCCTACTCCACACTCTACCCGCCCAAGCCGCCTCATCCGCTGCCTGGCACAGCGCGCTGGTTCCCTTGGGTGCCTGTCAGTTGCGCACCCCTGTCGTCTAGCCCCAGCGAAAGGATTCGCCAGCCTTGGACCCCAGGACTCCAGTTCTCAGTCCGTCCCATGCTGCTGTGCATGCTGCCGCCAGCGGGGGGCACTAGAGACCGAGAAAATATCGGCGCTCCCCGCCCGGAGTAAAGAAGCCGAGAACTTAGGGCGGGGGTCTAGGGGCTTGCGGACACTGCAGAGGGGTCTGACGAGCGAACCCGGACGCCTATGTTCTCGGAGCTCCGGAGATCCCCCACTGCAGGGCGGGGGCGCTATTTTGGGGCAGCAGCTGCTGTGGTTCCGGCATCTCCAGCCAAAGGATCAAAATTCCCCGGGTCGGAACTCCCCCCTCTCGCGGCGGTCACCCAGCCGCCGGCGTCCTGAGATAGGGTGGTGATGGTGCTGAGATTAACTAGGAAACTCGAGTGGGGCTAATTATAACTCGGGGCTTCCGCTGAGCCTCCCCTTCCCTCCAAATACAGACGGAATCCCCGCGGGAGGGGGATGCCTGGGCCTGGCAGGGGGCTTATGCTGGGCGCTTCGCAGGGGCCCCTGCGCTCGGGTGGCGGGACTGGGGTGGGGTCGGGGGACATGGCAGCCGGACGCCAGGGACCTGCGTGGACCGGGTTCCGCCCCAATTGGGGGGCGTCTTATAGTGGCCCCAGACCTGAGGACCAGCGAGCTAGGGGCGCTCGGGGGTCCCCACAGGAAATCGAGAGCAGAGGCAGCAGCCAGCCGTTCGGGGTGCCGGCTCCCTACGCAGGCGACCGTAAGTCTCCAGCGGCGAGCGAAGAGTTAAGGATGAGTGTGGGGTGGCGGGGGGCGTCTCTGGGCAGGCCCGGGGGCGCAGTGGGCGTCAGGTTTGGGGGCCTGGATTCCCCCGGGAGCGCACTGTGCCCCGGACGCGGAAGGGGCCGAAGGCCGGGGGAGGGTCCCGGGCGGGGCGGGAGACTCACCTGAGGCGGCCAAGCGGGGCCGGGCCGGGCCGCGCCGGGAGCTGGAGGCGGCCGATGTTCCCCGGCGCCGGCTGAGCAGACTCTGACAGCCGCCGCCTCCGGCCCCCCGCACACACCCCCTCCGGCCCGCACTGCGCCCCCGCCTCCGCCCACTGTCTCCGCCCCCTCCCCTCCCCACCGCTTGGAGCTGCCACCTCCTATCCCTCTTCTTTCCTGGAAGCCGAGACCCACAGACCCCGAGGCCCTGACAGAGCCGTGACAGACGCCGACAGACGTCCAGACACACCGTGACCCTCACTACCAAAAGACCCACAGTGACGGAGCAGAGGCCCACAAGACCGACAGATGAACAGAAATCCGAGGAAACAGACACACGCAGATCGACTGTCTCATGCAGTGACAGCCACAAACGCAGTGAGACATTGACAGACGGATGGACACTCTAGGACAGGGTGACAGCCTCGGTCGGAGCTGGGGGACGAATAAATGAGCATCCCTGGCCACAAGACAGCAGGGATGGCATGGGGGGAGGACCGGCATGAGAAAGTGTGGCTGAGGACCCCCCTCAGAGGAACGGGCGGTAGTGCTGGAGAAAAGGTGACATGGGACACTCTTGGGGACGAGGGCGCAGCTGTGGAAATGAAGATGTGAACACGAGATCATGAGTGGAAATGAAGGGGACCCCCATAAAGGAGATGGGTGGGGGAAAGTGACTCGTGGATACTTCAGATGGAAGGCCAAAGTGGTGGCACGCAAAAGGGTGCGGTGCAAGGCTGCCCTCCGCTGCCGCAGTAGAAACTTCCGGAACCCCTGCGGGTGGGTTTGCGCTGGTTTCCTGACGGGCGACCTCGGACTTTCGTCAACAGGGGCCGGTAGGTATGACATCACTATGCCAGCCTCTTATTGGCCGCTGGGACGGGCAGGTGGGAGCGGCCTGTCCAGGGGTCCCCTAGACTGTTCCGAGGGGCCGGAGCTGCACGGACCATATCCAGCCCTAAGGGATCACCCATGGGGAAGTGTGGCAGCGAAGGCGTCTCATGCTCGAGGTGGGGGCGGAAAAGTGTGAGGGGGGTGCGCGCATGATTGCGCTGCCCGAAGATGCCACACTCTCTGTGGGTGGCCCACTCCTGAACCTGCGGCCGGCTGCTCGGAGACTCGCTGGAGTGGGCAAGCGTTCTGGCGTGCGCGCGCGAGCGACGGTGCGGGGCGCCGCGTGGGGTGGCCGCGCGCGCTCACGTTCACTCAGCCGCTTAGCACCCCTCAGAGTCCCTGGGTCGCGTCTGCAACTGTGAGGGGCCGAAGGCACTGGATCTGAGGTCTCAGGAGTGTCATGGGAATCCTCACGAATCGAAAAATGTGCGCCTCCCTGGGCGGTGCGGTCCTAGTTCTCCTAGCTGGTGCTCCCCACCCCTACAGCTCGCCCGTGCGCCCTGCGGGAACTGGCCTGGCTAAGTCTGGTCCATTAGAAGGCGGTGGCCGCCAGGTGGCGGCGGTGGCCGCCAGGTGGCGCCGAAGGCAGCCGCTTGGGCCTTGAGGACTGGGTTGGAATGCAGACATTAAGCCTCACGTCATCTCTTCCCACCTTCTGGCTTTCCATGTTCCAGTCTCGAGGCACCCTAAATCCCCTGCAGGGACACCGAGGTTCCCTGCATCCTGCCCGCAGCGTCCGGGCCCCACTGGTTGAGGCCTCTCCGGTGGTCAGACCATATCCCTAGTCATTAGGGTTGTGAATAGAGATAGGAGACAGAAAAATGGACAGCTGGAGCAGCTGTGGGAGAAAAGGATATGAGGCAGGTTTCCCAGTGTGGTAATTATGAATTATTAGAATGATACTAATCAACCATGAATAAATGAACAGAGGCCTGCTCCAGGCCTAAGGCTGTGGAAATTTTTTGCCTGTAAAGGCCCTGATAGCTAGCGATGGTGGCTTGCCTCCCTGTTGCCCTCCAAAAAGGGCTGTCCCATGCAAATGCCTCATCCGACTTCTCCAATCAAGCGTCCTGAGGCCTGTACCACAAAGAGAGGGAAGGAAGAGGCAACTTATAGCTCCGGGTTATTGTGACCTAGTGATGCCTTAGACAGTAGAAGGTGAAAGGACAGGGCGTGTTCTAGGAGCTGGCCCGGCAGAGACTGCCTCAGAGGGGTCGGTGCTGAAAGCCTGGACCTGCCTTTGGAGTCAAAGACAGGATACCTGTGGTGATCTGGAATCTCTCAGGAAGGCAAGTCATACATTCATCTGGGGGGTGTTAAGTGGATTTAGCCAGAAAATGTCCAGATACGCCTGCAGAGGCTGGAGTCCTGCCTGGGAATGGCGTCAGTGAGGCAGTGAGGGATCCATGGGAGGTCAGGGCAAGGAGGGTTGTGAAACATTCTGAAGCCAGTCAGAACTTTATTTCTTTCAGGGGTGGGGACTATGGAGAGTTAGGCAGCAGGAGAGGGAACAGGAAGTAGAGTTTCCAAAGATGCTGGAGAATCTGAGGCAAGAGGGGATGCAGCCATTAATGTCAATACCCCCTCCCCACTCCCCAGGCCTGGGGAGATGGGAAGAAGGGCAGGCAAGCCCAGTACGGGAAGGAGGGATGTAAGGAGGGTTATGGGGGGAGGGTTGGAATTCAAGGAGGGTGTCCTACTACTGGAGCCCCTGAGGTACATCCCCATACCCTGGGTCAGGGAGGGGTCAGGTGAATGTTCACTTGCGTGGATCTGCAAGATGGCATGGAGTGCTAGGGCATGCAGGCCCTTTGCCTCTAATGTAGGAGTTGCGGAAGGAGGCCCGGGTCTCTACAGCTGTAAGTAGCTCTGGGAGATGTGCCCATGGGCCACGCGTGTGTCCTCGGCCTGCAGTGTGTCCGGGGTTGTGAGGGTGGAGACCATGCAGGCTGTGTTTCCATCTCTGGGAGGTTTTTTTAAATTTTAAATGTATATTTTTAAAACAGTGACGAAATATACTTTTATTTACTTTGTTGAGTCAGAGGGTTGTAAAACTCTTCCTTATCAGGAAAACAGAAAGGTGTTTTAGAAGTCCAGTTACCTTGGAGTTTATATAGACAGAGAAAAACATCATAATGTTTTCAGGCAATACATGCTTGGCTCTTTAAATAATTGTGACAAATATCAGAAAGAATTAAGGAATATTGCACTTGTGATCTGTACAAAACACCAACATTTTGGGTTGTACATAATTTAAAGAAATGTCTCAAATATTTAAAAAGAATTCTGTTATAGTCAGTACAGAATTCCTAAGGGGCCATAGGAATTCAGTTTATTATTTTTATTTTTTATTTTAGAGAGAGGGGAAGGGAGGGAGGGAGAGAGAGAGAGAGAGAAACATCGATCGGCTGCTTTCCATACCCGGAACCTGCAATAACCCAGGTATGTGTTCTGACTGGGGAATTGAACCAGTGACCTTTTGGTTTTCGGGACTGGCCAATCAACTGAGCCACACTGGCCAGGGCCATAGGAATGTGGTTTAGAAAAGAAAGGAAAAAAATCCCACTGGAACCACTCAATTTCTTCAAAAATCGCTGAGTAAGGAAAGCGACAGTGAGCTGCCATCCCGATTGTACACGGCTTCTCCACAGTACCTTGACTTAAATCCAAGAGCAAAAGTTAACACTCTTTCTGTGTTTTGGTAAACAACTGCATGGCAAACGTAGATGACCTTTCGCCCTGGATTTTACCTCGGTGTGGCCTTTTAAATGTTTTCTTTAAAAGAGGACAGGTCTGACACTTTTATACTGATGTCACCAAATATTTCTTGGGATCTCAGGAAGATTCACATTCTTTACAGATGATGCAGCACGGGCTGGAGCTCCTGTTAGACCTGCCTCTGATTTCTCCAGTTAATGCACTGGCGTGTGTCATAGTTCCACTCATGTTGATCTCCAGTACCATTCCCCCATGACCACCTCTGCAGGGATATTGTGAACCTTGTGTACATGGAACATTAAATCCAGTACACAGACATTTTCAAAACACTTGCCTAATGTTTATTTATACAGGTACTTGGATGATATCTCCAATGCCATGTTCACTCTGAAAAATCCACACAGAAGACAAAATATAACATTGCATAATGTCTATCAATCAGTTTGTTGTCAGGTTCTCCAATCAATAATCCCCTTTTAAGGAAATTGCAAACACTTGCATCGCTCTTGGATACCATATGGAACACATCCCTGATGATTTGCTGCTGTGTATCTTTGCCGTAAAGCTGGTGGAACTTGGAGAGCTGTGGGTTCCTGTGGTTGCTGAAGATGAGGATCACCTTGATCATAGCCAGGTGCTGGGGGCCAGGGCTGAGGGCGGGTGCCCAGCCTCGCCTCAGGATCTCACTGGTGAGTCTCCTTCTCAGAGGGCTTTTTAATTAGCAGGGGACCACCCCAGAGAGCCAGGATAAAGGGTGCAGGTGCTGGGAGATCCACAGGGCCTTGGAGTAAGCCCTGGACTGGATGTCCTGATTCCTGGGTTATGGCCCAGTACTCCAAGTGAGGCCTCTGGAAAGTCACACTACTTGTCTGAGCCTCAGTTTCTCCATGTGTAAAATGATGGACTGCATTTACGTCAGAATTATGGGGACCACTTATAGGGGTTGCTCCACTTGGTGTTGGGTAGAGTCCTTATGTCTGCATTTTTAGCAAGTCATCAGGGCAGTCCCATGAGGGTGCTGTGAGGACCACCTGAGGAGAAATGCTGGACTAGGTGCCCCCATAGTCAGTCCAAATGTCAGAGGACAATAAGCTGTGTAGGTCATCAGGAGGTGCTGTGGGCAGTCAGTGAGAGCAAGAACTGACAGGGACACCTCTGGCCATGAAGGGAGATGGACAAGAATTTGAGCTTGTTTTTGAAAATGGACAGAACTTCCAGGAACAATTCCTCTTTTACCACCCTTAGTCAACACGGGGCCTCGACTCATCTGTTGAGCCATGGCACCTTTCCCTAAGTAGTCCAACGTAATAACCTCCCCAGTGTTCGCTGTGATCCTGCCCTCCACAGGGATGTCCTTGATTCTTCCATTTCTTCCTTCACCATGTCTGTTTATCCAGGAATTAGTCTTGATTCTCCCACCAGTTCGACCAACTCAGGGAACACTCCTACTTCACTTGCATGTGTGTGTGTGTCTTAATTTTGCTGATACAGGGAACCCCTACTTCTATTGCAGCCCTTGCCCTACCTCTGCCAACAAAAGGGATTCTCATCCCTTCTGTTCATTGGTTAGGATTTAGTTCAGCTATTCGGTACAGGAAACCAAACAATAATGGAAATATATTTTTCTCTTACATAAAGGAGACCTAGAAGTAGGCCATGTATGGTTGGCAGGGTGCCCTGGAGGCCAGAGACCAGATTCCTTTACACAGAACTGTGTTCCTCAACCATCATAAAGCTTCAGTTTCATGGTGTGATGCAGTTGCTAGAGCATCAGTCATAACATCTGCATTCCGGCCCGCAGGAAGGAGGAAGGACTGAAGGAGGGCATTGCTCCTCCCTTTAAAGACATTTTTTGGAAATCATACACACAGCCCTTCATTTACAGCCCACTGGCCAGAACTTAATCCTAAACTCATAATTGGCTATGCAGGAGATTCAGAGGTGTAGTTTTTGTTCTAGATGACTTGGTACCTATCTAAAGTTTTGCTGTCCCAGTACTAAGGAAGAAGAGGGAGAGTAGGTACTGGGGCTAGCCCTTGCTTGAGGCCACTGCCTCAACCTGTTAAGTGGGGTTGTTAACCTGCGGAGTTGGGAGCTTGAGCCAGGCAAGAGACTTTCCTCCCTTCTCCCTACACCTTCCTCTAACACCTTCTGAAGACCAGCCTAAGGTACATCATTTTACACGATTCCTCCCTGGGCTCATCCATCCTGTTTTTACCTTTTTGCTTTTGCTAGTTTTGAGCATTTCACACAGTTTTTAGCCTGTCTCTGGGCAGGCTAATTTTATATTCACAAGTCTGTTAAACATTTAACCAGTTTACAGTATTTCTCATGCAGTTCCTTCTGCTTATTCTCACCCCCTTTCTAGCAGGAAGTAGGGTGGAGTGGCTTTCATATCCTGTACACTGAACGGATTATAGACATTGGTACCCTTCTCAGGTTGATTTCTGTCCATAAACTATAATGGTTCTGAAAGGAGTGAAATGTATAATTTAATTCACCAGGGGTATATTTTGCCTTGTGTTACCATTTATCAGCCCTGGTGTCAGAACCCGGGAGGAATTCAAGTTCCTGGAGTATGACTCAGCTCCCAACTGACAAGGTCCGTGATGTGCAGACCCACTGCCTGTGCAGACTCTGGCTCCAGCCCACCCTGATGCTGGTTTTGGTTTACATATTAGCAGCTCATTCTTGCATGACCTCTTGGGGACAGCTAGGTTGCACCAGGTACTATCTACTATATTGGACACTCCGGGAGCTCCTGAAAATGTCTCCAGCTGTTTCTGCAGGTATCAGCCAGCCAGTGAAGGCATCCCAAAGCAGAGGTTCCTTGGAGGAACCTGGCTGTGATTCCAGGGACAACAGACGTTGTACACAGGAGGGTGCAGAAGTGGGCAGGGCTTGCCTGGGGCTCCCCCATCTTCACTGGAGACAGTGCAGGCTGGCTACATGGCCAACAGTTCTGTGGACAGCTGGAGCCCCAGGTCAATGTCCACAAGGTTGGGGGAAACCAGAGTGAGTCAGTGAGTAGTCAGATCCAGTGTTACTTTCATGTTAGCGTTTACTGGGGGCTTGTTTGCCAGGCACTGGTCTGCATACTTTGCTACAAAATATCACCCCAGCTCTGGCAGGTCAGTTGGTTGGAGTGGGTTGGAGTGTCGTCCAGTACACCAAAAGTTTGCTGGTTCCATTCCCGGTCAGGACACATACCTAGGTTGTGAGTTCGATCCCCGCTTGGGGTGCATAAGGGAGGCAACCAATCAATGTTTCTCTCTCACGTTGATGTTTCTCTCTCTCCCTCTCCCCCTTCTTCTTTCTTTGAAATCAATAAATCTATTCTTTTTTTTATTTTTATTTTTATTGATTATGCTGTTACAGTTGTTCTATTCCCCCCTTCATTCCCCTCCACCCTACCTCCCCATCCCCACCGTTATCCCCCCTTTAGTTTATGACCATGTGTCTCAATTCCTTCAGATTCTATATTTCCCATGCTATTCTTGCCCCCCATTTATTTTCTATCTACTGTCTATGCTACTTATTTTCTGTACCTTCTCCCCCCTTCTCCTCCTCCCACTCCCCTGTTGCTAACCCTCCTTGAGATCTTCATTTCTATGTTTCCACTCCTGATCTAGCTGTCCTTTTAGTTTGCTTTCGTTTTAGGTGTGGTTGTTAATAACTGTGAGTTTGTTGTCCTTTCACTGTTCATGTTTCTTTAACTTCTTTTTCTTAGATAAGTCCCTTTAGCATTTCATATAATAAGGGCTTGGTGATGATGAACTCCTTGAATTTGATCTTATCTGAGAAGCACCTTATCTGTCCTTCCATTCTAAATGAAAGTTTTGCTGGATAGAGCAATCTTGGTTGTAGGTCTTTGGATTTCATGACTTGGAATACCTCTTTCCAGCCCCTTCTTGCCTGTAAGGTCTCTTTTGAGAAATCTGCTGACAGTCTGATGGGTACTCCTTTGTAGGTGACTGTCCCCTTAGCTCTTGCTGCTTCTAGGATTCTCTCCTTCATTTTAATTTTGGCTAATGTAATTATGATGTGCCTTGGTGTGTTCCTTCTTGGGTCCAACTTCTTTGGGACTCTCTGAGCTTCCTGGATTTCCTGGAAGTCTATTTCCTTTGCCAGATTGTGGAAGTTCTCCTTTATTATTTGTTCAAATAAGTTTTCCACTGGTGGCTGTTCCTTTCCCCCTTCTGGTACCCCTATAATTCGGATGTTGGAGCGTTTAAAGATGTCCTGGAGGTTCCTAAGACTCTCCTCATTTCTTTGAATTCTCGCTTCTTGACTCTTTTCTGTTTGGCCATTATTTGCTTTCTTCTGGTCCACTCCATTGATTTGAGTCCCAGTTTCCTTTTCATTGCTATTGGTGTCCTGTGCAATTCCATTCATTTCAATTAGTTTTGCCTTCATATATTTGTCTAATTTGTCGGTATAATCAACCAGTTCTGTGAGGATCCTGATGACCAGTGTTTTAAACTGTGCGTCTGAGAGTTTTGCTATTTCTTCATTGCTTAGATCTATGGGCTCTGGGGCTTTGAGATATTCTTGCGACATTTTTGGTCTGTTCTGGCCCTTTAAGTGTGAGAAGCGGTGCCTTGGACTCCCAGGTCGCTGGGTTGTGACGCTGTATGTGGGGGCGTGGTAGAGCGGGGAAATGGCGACCCCCTCTGCTGTTTCTCACAGCTGGGTGAGGATTAGCGTCTTAGGTGGTTTTCCTGGGCCGGGCCACTCAGAGTCGCTGGGTTATGACACTGTATGTGGAGGTGGGGTCAGAGCAGGGAAATGGCGGCGCCCTCCACTGCCACTTGCCGCGGGAACCCACCTGGCCCCAGTCCAACCGCCTACTCCCTCGCCTGTCCGCCCGCGCACAAATGCGAGATCATAGTCAACACGCAGCACCGCTCCCCCGCTGTCTCCCCTGCCGTCGCTCGCCTGGTGGCTCCCTCGGTCGCTCACTAGGTCCAACCCTGCGCCTGGATTCTGCGCGTCTGGATTCCGTGCCTGAGTCCGGCTGACCGAGTCCTCCTGTGCAATCCCGCTTCACCAGCCGCTGGTTTCGCCCCTTACCGGTCAGGCTGAAGAATTTGTTGTTAACGGACTTCCGAAAAGTTCAATTTTCCGTGTTCTGGCTGTGTTTTCTGTTGCTAATATTTAGTTGTCTCTAAACTTGGTTGTGTGAGAAGGCATGGCACATCCACCTATGCCTCCATCTTGGCGGAAGTCAATAAATCTATTCTTAGGTGAGGTTTAAAAAAATTGTCCCATTAACTCCTGATTACAACATTCTAGAAGGCACGCCCTATTCTTATAATGGAACAGCTGGGAAACAGAAATTGAAGTGCAGAGCGATTAAGCTTTTGTTTACTTTAATCACCTGGTAAGTGGAGGCCTTGGACTTTGGATGAGAACTCTGACCTGCACTGGTGTTGGCGTATTACAGAGCCACTCACCTGTTCTATGGCTTCCAGAAAATGAACTAGAGTTCAAAAAACAGAAAGGCAGTGGGGCAGGCCCCTTTTTTGAGTTTCTGGAGACACCGTCCCACCTGCCTCCCACTCTCCCCCACTCCCTTCCCCACTTCCATCCCTCCTCACTCCATTTTTCTCTCCATTTCTCTTTCTCTCTCTCAGGCCTCATTTGGAGATTCTGCCTGTCAGATCTTCCAGACATCTTGGACCATGAAAACAGGTCTAGGTGACAGGCTTCTGGGCATTGCTCCAGCATTCCGAAGGGGGAAGGCAGATGAAGAATACCCAACTCCGGGTGATAAGAAAGGCAGGTAATGGTTTCTACAGTTCTCAGAGATCTTTCCTCCTCTCCACTTGGGGCCTCACACCTCCACCTCACTCCCATATGCTGACAGCTCTCCTGAATGCAGGACTGGCATGTTCAGCCAGGTGAGGGCTGGAGGGCGTGGGATGCCCACCCTCCACAGTGGTCAGAGTCTCTCCATCCCATCCTGAACCCCCAGGCCACCACAGTGGTCCCTCAGCTCCCAGCATTATCTCTCTAACTCTTTCCTCACCATCCCCATCTCAGGGGCCACTTCTGAAGTCTCTTTACTCTGCCCAGACCACCTCCTTTCCTGGGGCTCCATGGTTTTCAGGGATTGAGATTAAGGGGGAAAGGGTGCCCCTTCTCCAGTTCCTTCTCTGTAGGCTGAAGGGCTCTTAGAAAAATGGGAAGTAGGGTCTGGCATCTTTAGGGACCCTGGAGTTTGAGGACAATGGAAAAAATTTAGGTAGTGAGGTAGAAGAATAAACAAAGCAAAATAAAACTCATTGATACAAAGAACAGATTGGTGGTTGCCAAAGGTGAGGGGTGAAGGTGGTCAAGAGGTACAAACTTCTAGTGACAAGATAAACAAGTCCTTCTAGTTTCAAGATAAACAGTCTTGTGGATGTAACATGTAGCGCGGTGACTGTAGTTAATAATGTATCGTGTATTTGAAAGTTGCTAAGAGAGTAAGTCTTAAAAGTTCTCATCACAAGAAAATAATTTGTAACTCTGTGAGGTCATGGACATTAACTAGACTTATTGTGGTGGTCATTTCACAATATATATGTATATTGAATCATTATGTTATATTATACCCCTGAAACTAAGGTAATGTTATATGTCAACTATATAGCAATGAAAACAGAACAAAATAAACATGCTACAGGCCATTTAGATAACCAGAAAAAGCATACTGCTAATCCTGAAAGTATTTTTGAACACATTAACTATATAGTACCCATGAGGATAGGGTTGAACAATTTGTGTTTTTTAAATATAAATTTGTGAATGCTTTTTGTATATTATAGATATTAACCCTTTATCTGTCATTCGCATTACGAATAATCTGCCCCCCCCACATCTATTTTGTCTTTGTATTGTTTTGGCATCTTTCCTTTACACACATAAAGTTACTTTTTTATGTAGTAGGATATGTGGAATTTTATTTTTATAGGTTTTGGGTTTTGCATTTTGATCAAAGTAGTTTCTTCTTCAGGTTATACACATAGTCTCATAAAGTTTCCCCCAGAATTTTTAGTTTTTTCTCATGTCTTTCATTTAGTTTGCTTTATTGCTTATTATTGCTTATTATTGTTGTTATTGCTTATTGTGCATTTCTCCTTCCTTTCTTTCTTCCTTTTTTCCCCCTTATTGTAGGTGGTCTCTGTTCTAAGGATCAGCATGAGGTGTAAACTAAAGTCTTCTCAAGCCTTTTCTCATCCTTTCCCTGTGCATGTATGGTCACTTTCTGATTTTCCCCAGGAATGCAGTTGTTTTTGAATGTCATAGTCTTTAATTTCTGATTCCTAAAAGGGAAAAGAAAAAAAAAAAAGGCGGGGAAGGAAAGCGTACCAACATTTTAAATCCCTTGAAAGTGGGGGAGGGGCCTGCAAGAATTGGGAGAGGTACAGTAACAGTGGCTGTCTCTTTTCTTGCACCTTTGTGATCAGAAGCAGCAATTACTGATTAGAACACAGACCCAAGATACAGGAATACATGGACCTTTTGCCTACCCTAGCTCCCACAAGCCATGGGCAAGCTGCTCCAGGAACACGGTGCACAACTGCTTGTCATGTGGTTGAGAGTGTGGAATGGGCAGCTGCTACTGTGCTAAAGCAGAAATTTACCAAAATTAACATCAATTTACTAACTTGGTCTTCCCCTGGAAGTTGCAAGCCCTCAACAGACTCCAGAGTTGCAAAAACCGTTATAGCAGACAGATTCTGCAAATGGAATTGTTGTCTAGATGGGGGATAGATTCTTTGTGTCATACCCCACAAAATTCCTAGAATCCTCCTCTAAATTGTTTTTTAATTACCTTCCAACACATAATACAGTCTTCAAGTTGTTAAAGATAAAGCCAGACACTAGTTAAAGTGGTAAGGACAGATTTTTAATCAGTAATACACTATTGCAATAGGAAAAAGAGTTCAGCATGAACTGAACTCCACTTTGATTTGCAGAGGTAACTAGGCATTTAAAGAGAGATTGAGGGAATAGGGAGGCAGGTAAGCAGGACCTCAGGAGAGTCAGGAAAGTGAAAAATTACAAAAAGGGGGTGTGGGGTTGGTCTATGTGAAACTCATCCAGGTTTGCTAAGTGATGTTTATTAACATCAGGCTGCCCTGGCTGGTGTAGCTCAGTGGATAGAGCGTGAGCCTGCGAATCAAAGGATCACGCTTCGATTCCCAGTCAGGGCACATGCCTGAGTTGCAGACTGCTTCCCTGCAGGCCAGTTTCCAGCAGGGGATGCATGAAAGGCAACCATGTATTGATGTTTCTCTCCCTCTCTCCTTCCCCTCTAAAGATAAATAAATAAATAAATAAATAAATAAATAAATAAAATCTTAAAAAAACCCCAAAACAAACAAACAAAAAAACATCAGGCTCCTACTCTCTCCATAGGTTGGGACAGGGGCTCTATCATCAGGTGTTGGCTGGAACAGTCAGTTATTGTGGCAGCCTTGAGTCTTCTTAGACAAGCACTCACTTTAAGGAGGGCTGAGGTCATGCTAGGGGATGGCCTTGAACTGTTAGAAACTAAGTTAATGTTTGTTCAAGTCTTTATAAGCCAAGTTTGAGGCTTAGTTGAGAAGAGAGCTCAGAGGATCCTAGCTAGAGTTTGTTCGAGGAGGTAATATTTGTTAAAGTAAAAACTATAGGTACAGCCTAAGTTCCCTATTATTCCCAACCTTGGTTCTTTTTTAAAAAAAATTTAATTATTTTTTGAGTACGGTTTTCTGTCTTTTACTCCCATCCCAGCCCACCCCCCTGCCCCGGTGCTCCCCACCTCCCTCCCATTTCCACCCCCCTTGTTGTTGTCCATGTGTCCTTTATACCAGTTCCTGTAAAACCTTGGTTCTTTCATGCTTCTTTGAACTACCCTTACCCCTGTTATTGGGGTAGGTGAGCTGCTTTACAAATTTTTAAAAATAAACTAGTTTATTAGGACTTCCGCCAAGATGAAGGCATAGGTGGAAACATTGTGCCTTCTCACACAACCAAGTTTAAAGACAACAAAGTTTTAGTAAAAAAAGGTGCAACCAAAACACAGAAAACTGAACTATACTGAAGTCCAACAACAACGAGCCCTTCAGCCAGACTGGTAAGAGGGACGGAGCCAGCAACTGGCGGAGCGGAGTTGTGCAGGAAAACTCAGCCAGACCGACCCAGGCACGCAGGTGGTGGTTGGCAGATCCCAGGCGTGGGGTTGCAATGGGCGGACCCAGTGAGGGCGCAAGGCGGCAGGCTGACTGCGGTTACACAATCACGCGCAGAAAAACCAGGTGAAGGAGTGAGCAGTGAGACACCTGTGCAGGCCCCAGTGGTGGGAAGCAGCAGAGGGGACTACTATTGCCCCTCTTTGACCCTGCCCCCACATACAGCATCACAACCCAGTGACTGAGTTGCCCCGCCCTGGTGAACATCTAGGGCTCCGCTCCTCATATGTAACAGGCGTGAACAGATGAAAACATGGCTCGAGAAGAACTCAAAGCTCCAGAGCCAATAACTGTAAATGACTATGAAATAGCCAACCTATCAGATGCACAGTTCAAAACACTGGTGATCAGGATGCTCACAGAACTGGTTGATTTTAGTCACAAATTAGAGGAACAAGTGAAGGCTAAACTAATTGACATGAAGGGAAGTACACAAGAAACCAATAGTGATGGGAAGGAAACTGGGACTCGAATCAAAGGAGTGGACCAGAAGAAAGGAAAAATTGACCAAACAGAAAAGGATGAAGAAACAAGAATTCAAAAAAAATTAGGAGAAGCTTAGGAACCTCCAGCATATCTTTAAACATTTCAACACTTGAATTATAGGGGTACCAGAAGAGGAAGAGGAACAGCCACGAGTGGAAAACTTTTTGAACAAATAATAAAGGAGAAGTCCCCCAATCTGGCAAAGGAAATAGACTTCCAGGAAATCCAGGAAACTCAGAGAGTCCCAAAGAAATTGGACCCAAGAAGGAACAGACCAAGGCACATCATAATTACATTACCCAATATTATAATGAAGGAGAGAATTCTAAAAGCAGCAAGAAATAAGGGGACAGTCACCTACAAAGGAGTTCCCATCAGACTGTCAACTGATTTCTCAAAAGAGACCTTACAGGCAAGAAGAGGCTGGAAAGAAGTATTGCAAGTCATGAAATCCAAAGACCTACAACCAAGATTGCTCTATCCAGCAAAGCTTTCATTTAAAATGGAAGGACAGTTAAAGTGCTTCTCAGATAAGATCAAATTCAATGAGTTCACCATCACCAAGCCCTTATTGTATGAAATGTTAAAGGGACTTACCTAAGAAAAAGAAGATAAAAAAGATGAACAGTGAAAGGACAGCAAACTCACAGTTATTAAGAACCACACCTAAAACAAAAGCAAACTAAGAGGACAGCTAGATCAGGATCAAACCATAGAAATGGAGATCGCATGGAGGGCTAGCAATAGGGGAGTGGAAGGAGGAGAAAGGGGGAGAAGGTACAGAGAATAAGTAGCATAGATGGTAGGTAGAGAATAGATAGGGGGAGGGCTAGAATAGTATGGGAAATATAGAATCTAAAGAACTCGTGACACATGGACATAAACTAGGGGGGGAAATGGTAGGGGAGGGGTGTGCAGGGTGGAGGGGAATGAAGGGGGGAAATGGGACAACTTTAATGGCATAATCAATAAAATTTAAAAAAAGAAAAAATAAACTAGTTTATTGATTCATTTTATTTTTAAAAAATTTTATTTATTTATCTTTAGAGGGGAAGGGGAGAGGGAGAGAAACATCAATATATGGCTGCCTCTTGTGCATCCCCTGCTGGGAACTGGCCTGCAACCCAGGCACGTGCCCTGACTGGGAATTGAACTGTGATTGTTTGGTTCACAAGACCGCACTCAATCCACTGAGCTACACCAGCCAGGGCTCGCTTTCCAAATTTTAAACTAAAATTTGGAAATTTTATACTTATGTGTGTGTGCATGTTTATAGGAAATATATATTTGTATTTTAACAAAACTGTGTCTACCGGTTCCACTGAACAAGACATCTGAGGGTCTTTCCATGTTGGTACCATTCTATTTGATTCAAGCATAGTGTGACTTTCCATAGTCATTCTAGTTTCCTATTCGGGGTTATCTGGGTTGTTTCCAATTTATATCAGAAATGCAATAAACTGGACAGCAACAATCCTCATTAATGCCTCTTTGAAGTGTTTCTTGGAATGGTGGAATTACTGGGTCCTTGAGCATTTAAATCTTATTAGGTTTAAATTGCTTTTTTAAAACAGCCCAACCCACTTACACTCCCAGCAACTGGGTAAGAGTGTTTATTTTTCATACCTTTTGTAACACTGATTGGAATCAAACTTTCAGATACTTGCTAATTGGCTGGATCAAAACTAGTTATTTTGTTTCTACTGGCCATCTGTATTTCCTTTTCTGGGACCCAGCCCAAATCCTCGGATAGTAAAATGACTTCTGATTGGATTCTGCATCGCTCTCATGGCCTTGGCCATGGGGTCACAGTTCCAGGGTCTTGCTAATGGCAAGATGGAGAGAGGGAAGGGCAAGTGGCAGTGGGAGTGAAGGAGAGTGAGGTTCCGCCTTCTTCCTGTACAGCTGGAATTGAAACTAAGGAGAGGCTGTAAGAACTGGCCCCAGACTCCAGAGTCCAAAGTCTTGGCAAAGCTTATTCTCCATCCAGTTTTGCTAGTTCTTGGTGGGGGGAAGGGTGGGAGGGGTGGGGAGGAGGCAGTGTTCTAGGAATTGCTCTGAGTATGTCAGCCAGGTGGAGGTAGGGGTGGGGAGGGTGTTTGTTTGTTTACCAGCAGCTCTCCCTTTCCGACTCCTCCTGGGCTCATCTTATCTTCTCCGTCACTTCTTACAACAAAGTCAGAGATATAGGGAGAAGTGAGATGGGGTGGGATAGTGCAAAAGAGAAGGAAGAGACCATGTGATCCACCACATGCTCAGATGGGCAGGTAATCCAGTTGGAGCTGGGTCTGCTGCATATACTGTGGCTACCTCCCTGCTGCTGTCCCCTGAGCTTGTGCCTACTCTGCCCCCAGCCCTCACCACAAGGGGCCCATGCAGCTACTTGGGCTCCTCAGCCTCCTATGGATGCTCAGGGCCTTCCTGGGGGCCACAGGTAAGGGGGTGAGGTCAGTGGGGCAGGGTTGCAGAGACCCTCCTGATGTTCTAGGCCAGGGATGTTGGGGCGAGGGTGTTAGCTCTCAGGACACAGGGAAGGTTGGGAAAGGATTGCTTTCCCTTGAGCTCTGCTGCAAGGAGAATTGAGACAGGGGAAGGAGAGGGAAGTTGGGTCCAGCTGGTATTGCTCTCCACCAGCAGGTTGTAGAGGTCTGCACTTGAATCAGAAGGCGGGGGAATAACCTCTTTCCAGAAAACTGCTCTTCCCACTTTGACTAGTTTTCTGAGAACCCCTTCTCTTCTGTCAAACACTGTCCCAGGCCTAGTGCTCACTTCACCTTGGACTCTGTGCTTCTTTTTACTTCCATTCCTGCTGCCCTCCTGCGAGTCCCTCCCTCTTGCCCTGGGATACCTCCTCTCTTTGGGGTGTCTCCAGCTTTGGTCCCTGATGTCCCCTCCTCCAGCTCTGCCTCTAACTCTCCATTCCCACTGGGCCCATGTTTCTGGGCACAGGGGTTGTTGGCAGGGCTGGGGTGGGGGATCTTGAAGTCTGATTTGTTCTCAATGGGTGGATCTTAGACCAGCTGGTGTGGGGCCCTGGATCTTTTTTATCCCACCTCTCAAGAACCCTGCAATTTATCTGCAATTACCTTCCCTCTGCCTCTCAGTGTCTGCTCCTGACCCCCAATCCTAGTCCTTCCAGAGCCAGAGGCCCACACTCCATCCCCTCACTACCCTCCAGGGCTACTGCTTCGATGAAAGGGCTCTAGCCCAAGAATCTTCATAACCTCCTTACTTCCCTGACACATATACACTAAGCTGAGGTGGGCCAAGGGTAGAGGCAGAAACAAGAGCTCTCAGAGCAAAGATATTTGGGTGGGAGGTGAGAAGGAAGCTAACCCTAAGTTCTGACCAAGACAGAGGTGTACATAGAAATGATTTGCTTCCTTGCACAACCAAAAGAAGCATAACAACCAATTTAAAAATAATAAACAACCAGAACTGACAGAAAATGAAACTGCATGGAACTCTGAAAACCAAGAAGTTAAAGATATATTCATCTAGATGAGTAAGAGGGACAGAGACGGGCAGCTGGAAGGAGAGGACCACAGCAAGGCAGCAGACTGGATGGTGGATGACGTGGGGGCTGGCTGACTGGGAAACTAAAGGCTCAAAACCTCTAGCTATAAATTTCTATGAAGTTACAAAGGTGAAAGAAACTCCTAGTTTCAGAGAGAGTTTGTTGGAGAGGTCCACAGGATCCTAGAATGAACACAAACCCAACCAGCACCTGGTTGGGAATCAGCACCCAAAAGGGCACAATCTGCTTGTGGAAAGGGGGGGAAGTGATGGAAAGTGGGGCTACAGCAGAGCCCGTTGGGTGGCATTGTTTCCTCTCTGACCCCTCCTCCACATACAGTGCCACAACACACTGAAGTGCATTGCCTCACCCTGACTATAATACCTAAGGCTCCACACCTTACAATATAACAGGTGAGCTGAGACAAAGAAATATGGCTCAAATGAAAGGTTAGATCAAAACACCAGAAAAAGAACCAAGCAACGAGAAGATAGGCAACCTGTCAGATGCAGAGTTCAAAACACTGGTAATCAGGATGCTCACAAAATGATTGCATTCAGTTGCAAAATGAAGGAAGAAATGAAGGCTACTCAAAGTGAAATAAAGGAAAATATACAGAAAACCAAAAGTGAAGGGAAAGAAATCAGGACTCAAATCAACAATTGGGAACAAAAGGAAGAAATACACATCCAACTGGAACAGGATGAAGAAACAAAAATTCAAAAAAATGAGGAGAGACTTAGGAACCTCTGGGACAACTTTATGCACTACAACATCTGAATCATAGGGGTGTCAGAAGGAGAGGAGGAAGAGTAAGAAATTGAAAACTTACTTGAACAAATAATGAAGGAGAACTTCCCCAATCTGGCAAAGGAAATAGACTTTCAGGAAGTCCAGGGAACCCAGAGAGTTCCAAAGAAGTTGGACCCAAAGAGGAGCACACCAAGGTGCATCATAATTAAGTTAGCCAAGATTAAAGATAAGAAGAGAATCTTAAAAGCAGCTGGAGGAAAGAAGACAGTTACCCACAAAAGAGTTCCCATAAGACTATCAGCTGATTTCTCAAAAGAAACCTTGCAGGCAAGATGGGGCTGGAAAGAAGTATTCAAAATCATGAAAGGAAAGGATTTACATCTGAGATTACCCTATCCAGCAAAGCTATCATTTAGAATGGAAGGGCAGATAAAGTGCCTCCCAAAGAAAGTAAAGTTAAAGGAGTTCATCATCACCAAGCCCTGATTACATGAGATGTTAAAGGGACTTATCTAAGAAATAGATAAAAACTATGAACAGTAAAATGACAAACTCACAACTATCAACAACTGAACCTAAAAAACAAAGATAAAAACTAAGAGAACAACTAGAACAGGAACAGAAGCACAGAAATGAAGATAATATGGAGGGTTATTAGCAGGAAGGGAGAGGAGGCAGAGTGGGGGGAAATGTACAGGGAATAAGAAGCATAAATGGTAGGCATAAAATAGATGGAAAAGTTAAGAATAGTATAGGAACCAGAGGAGCCAAAGAATTTATATGTACGACCCATTGACATGAGTAAGGAAGGGACTGGGAAATGCTGGAGGGTAGGGGTGGGTGTAGGATGGAGGGCGGAGGTAAAGGGGAGAAAAAAATTAGGACAACCATAATAGTATAATCAATAAAATATACTTAAAAAAAAGGAAGCTAACCCTGAGTGGACAGGTAGTCTAGGCACTTTCTGATGGCAAATGCTATAGTTGCATGAGTCTTCTCTGCCACTAACTCACAAGATTAGGAAATCTTTGTCTGTCACTCTTACCACTTGTAAAATGAGATTGATGACATTTATAGAGAGAGGGGTTCATGTTTGTAAACTAATTTACCCAGTGGGAGAAATAGAGTAGGTAATAGAAAGTATATCTATTTTTATTATTAACACTCACAGGTAAACCTTAAGGTCTCCAGGACTCATGCCTGCCTGCCTGCCTGCCTGCCTGCTGAGGGATCTCTTTTTAAAAGTACATTTTATTGATTATGCTATTAGAGTTGTCCCATTTTTTCTCCCTTTTATCCCCTTCACCCCTCTCTCTTCAGCATTCCCCACCCTCTTAGTTCATGTCCACAGGTTGTACATATAAGTTCTTTGACTTCTCCATTTCCCACATTATTCTTAACCTCCCCCTATTTTCTACCTACTATTTATGCTTCTAATTCCCTGTACATTTTCTCCCATTTCCCTCTAGTCCTCCCCAGTGATAACCTTCCATGTGATCTCCATTTCTGTGATTCTGTTTCTGTTCTAGTTTGTTTGCTTAGTTTTTGCTTTTGTTTTTTAAGTTTAGTTGTCAATAAATGTGAGTTTGTTGTCATTTTACGATTCATCCTTTCCTTTCATGATTTTGAATACTTCTTTCCAGCCCCTTCTTGCCTGCAAGGTTTCTTTTGAGAAATCAGCTGATAGTCTTATGGGAACTCTTTTGTGGGTAACTGTCTTCTTTCCTCCAGCTGCTTTTAAGATTCTCTTCTTATCTTTAATCTTGGCTAACTTAATTATGATGCACCTTGGTGTGCTCCTCTTTGGGTCCAACTTCTTTGGAACTCTCTGGGTTCCCTGGACTTCCTGAAAGTCTATTTCCTTTGCCAGATTGGGGAAGTTCTCCTTCATTATTTGTTCAAGTAAGTTTTCAATTTCTTACTCTTCCTCCTCTCCTTCTGACACCCCTATGATTCAGATGTTGTAGTGCATAAAGTTGTCCCAGAGGTTTCTAAGTCTCTCCTCATTTTTTTGAATTTTTGTTTCTTCATCCTGTTCCAGTTGGATGTGTATTTCTTCCTTTTGTTCCCAATTGTTGATTTGAGTCCTGATTTCTTTCCCTTCACTTTTGGTTTTCTGTATATTTTCCTTTATTTCACTTTGAGTAGCCTTCATTTCTTCCTTCATTTTGCAACTGAATGCAATCATTTTGTGAGCATCCTGATTACCAGTGTTTTGAACTCTGCATCTGACAGGTTGCCTATCTTCTCGTTGCTTGGTTCTTTTTCTGGTGTTTTGATCTAACCTTTCATTTAAGCCATATTTCTTTGTCTCAGCTCACCTGTTATATTGTAAGGTGTGGAGCCTTAGGTATTATAGTCAGGGTGAGGCAATGCACTTCAGTGTGTTGTGGCACTGTATGTGGAGGAGGGGTCAGAGAGGAAACAATGCCACCCAACGGGCTCTGCTGTAGCCCCACTTTCCATCACTTCCCCCCCTTTCCACAAGCAGATTGTGCCCTTTTGGGTGCTGATTCCCAACCAGGTGCTGGTTGGGTTTGTGTTCATTCTAGGACCCTGAGGGTCCCTCCAATGGATGCTCCTGTGAGATTGGGAGTTTCTTCTGCATTTGCAGCCCCCAAAGGTTTTTATAGTCAGAGGTTTTGAGTCTTTTTTTTTTTTTAATTTACCACACTGGAACCCTGGGTTGTGTGGTCTGTCTCTCTCTCCCCAGTTGTTCCACCTGGTTTATCTGAACATAAGTGTGGGACCTTCTGGTCCACCAGCCACAGCTTTGATGTGCATCCTCTTCACCCCACCTGCTCCTCTCCACCCCTCCTACAAGTATGAATGAATGTTTCTTCTTTAAATCCTTGGTTGTTGGACTTCCATACAGTTCAATTTTCTGGCAGTTCTGTTTTTTTAAATTTATTATAAATTGGTTGTTGTCCTTCTTTTGGTTGTTTGAAGAAGCAAAGCATATCTACCTATGCCTTCATCTTGGCCAGAAGTCCTGAGGGATCTCTTTCTGGCAGTGTCCTCCTTTCTGTCCTGTGTCTCAGATTGTGTGGTCCTCTTTCCCTATCTCTCAATCTCAGTGGAGTCTGAGCTTCTGTCTTTGGTCTTCCCTTTGCTGTTCTATACATAGCTTTCTCCTTTCTGACCCTTCATCTCCTGGTGCCCAGGATGTGTCTCCACCTCCAGCTCCACCTTGGCTAGGTTCTTTCTCTCTCTAATGAAGAGGAGAGTCAGACCAGACAGCACTGAGTCACAGGGAGAGCAGCAGAGGTGGCAGAGAGCCAGCAGGGACCAGGACTTCTGGGTAGTAGGTAGAGGAGGGAGGAGGATGCAGAGTAATGGAAGGGAGCAAGGAGGAAGGAGTGGGGGTGTCAAGGAAAGAAGGTAGAAGCCTTTCCTGAATCCGCAAGTGACTATTCCAGAGCTGGAAGGACGTACCACTCAGATGAGGTTGACAAGTTACTGAGGGTATCTCCCACCTCCCTTCCCACTGGAGAGGCTGCTCTGGGGATCAGATAATATTGGCCTTCAGAACCTGAAAGTCCTCAGGCCCAAAGTGCCACTGACTGGGGAATAAGTAATAGCACTTCCTGCCTTCTATGTTACATATATGGAAAAATTAAAAATGAAAAGCCTATGGGGTATTATGATGACAAAATGACCTATGAATACATTCTTCTGTTCTATTTACAATGCAGGAACTTCATCCACAGCCACATACTCTTCTCATGCACTCCTCCCCAGGGAAGGAGCAGCCCATGCTGTTCTCAGTAACTACCCACGTTCCAAAGGCAAAACTGGGTGGCCACTCAGCACCCCTAAAACTACTTCTCCTATCCTGGCAGGAGGGAAAACATACCTATGACTCTCAACACCTCTTCACACTTCAGACATATTTCTGAAACATTTCTCAAATCTCCAATCAATTCCAACACCCCAACAACTCTGACATCCTAGTTTGTCATCAAGGTAGAAACCACTCCACCTACTACAATTGTCTATATGAGTGCTACAGAGTGCATCAAACCAACCAGATGAGTAGTCACCACCACTTACCCCACCACTACATGCATAACAATGACTCAGGTGACCTTGCCCAACACTTATACAACAGCTGTGACAGGAAATAACACACTATCTCAAAACATGTCATCAAAAACTGTAGCAAGCATAGTACCTTTGGCTACAATGACATCCTATGAATCCAGCCTAACAGGGACTACCATGGATACACAGCAGACATCCACAAAAACAGAACCAGAATCAAAAACTTCAGCCCCTTCACAGACAGGCAAGATGACAGACACAACCTCTTATGCTACATTTACCAGGAAAACCACACTTACTCCAACCAGTGACATTTCCACAGAGACTGTCACAACAGAGATAACTTCTACTCCCACTGTGACATCCTCAGTCACTCCCACAGAAACAGTCAGTTCTCCCACATCTACCACCTCTACCCCAGTGACCACTAGTACCCTGACATCTACTACTGCTTCCATCTTCTGCACCTGTTTCAGCCATGCAGCCAGGGCCCTCTTTCAGCACAAACACTATGCTCATGTTCTCCTTGATTACTATACACTCTACTACTCAGGCCCCACCCACCCATAAATCTCCCTCCACCACTGTCACTATGGTCACAAGTGAAGTCACCACTTCTGCTGACACTTCAACCTTTGCAACCTCAGTCACAGCAACCCCACTTACTTCCTCCAGAGTGGCAAAATCCATGACTGCTCCCATCCTCAGGAACCAACCTCCACCCTGACTGTGACTCAGACTGCTCCAGACAGACATCAGTACTTCACAGGGCTCCTCCATGGGAAGCACACCCACACCCACAGTCACCCCTTCTGTCCCTACCATGGGCACCATGCACACATCCACAGCCACTACTCCGTCTACAGAAATCCCTACCACTGCTTCGACATAGGTCACTTTCACATCTACAGGCACCCTTGGGTCCTTGATCCCCATGACTGAATGCACCTCAACATCTATCATTTGCAGTATGCTGGCCACCCCCACCAATATCATCACATCATGCCCCACCACACACAGTACAGCAATAACAGCCAATGGCATCTCAGTCTCTGCCACTACGCTAGAGATGGTGCTTTGCTCTCCATAACTTTGGATACATTTTCATGTCTTTCCTGCCCCTTCTTCCTTCAGTGAGTACATCTACAAATGCAGTAATCAGTTCTTTTAGTACCATTATCTCTTCTTCAACATCTGAAATAACACGTTTGTCTTCTGTCTCTTCTACCAGTGCTAATTCAATGCTCTCTGCTATCTTAAATTCTCCCCATTCCTCACAAACCCTCACTGCAGGTACACGTTCTTCTGTCACTGCTTCTCCTACTTCATGTGAAACTACAAAAAATTCTTTAATCATATCTTCTCTAATAACCTCTTCTATTGGAACAACTCCGACTGTTTCGATTTCCCCCACCACCCCATGTCCAGAATACATATCTGTTACAATAGTGCCTACTTCTCCCACCACTCCATGCATAGAAATTGATCAAAATAGTAAAGCTACCTTTACTCCCACTATCCCATTATCGGTCTTTACCTCTACTACTGAGATGGCCACCACCTGTCCTAGTTCCACCAGTATGACAACAGTATTTCTTACACATATGGACACTTCTACTTCATATTTGGAAATTGATCCCACCAACATCATAACTGAGGCCCCTAATTCTCTCAGCCCTGGGACTGACTATTCCCATTAGCATAGTTTCGACAAGCACACAAAGACCCACCAGTGGTACCTGGATGAGCTCCTACTCTGTAACCACCCCACCTGTGTCCAGCTTCACTAGTCTCCCACTGACCATGGAGTGAAGCAGCAGCTTTCCAACTGTCATGATAATGTTGAGCAAGTTGACACACCCCAGCCCAACCATGACCAGGACCCCAAAGACATCAGTGGTCACCACTCAGACTCCCACCACTTTTACATCACCCGGGACAACTCTGACCACTACTCAGATGACCACACCATCTCTACTGACCACCAACCCAGGTTGGACCTCCTTTCTCCCCTACTAAATTCCCATGTATCCAATGTCTGGCTCTATTCTAAAATTCCCTTTCTTCCTGTGATATCCAGGCACCTGTGACAATGGTGGCACCTAGATACAAGGCCATTGCCTTTGTCCCTCGGGGTTCTCTGGGGACCACTGTGAGCTCCAGGAGATCAGATGCCAGAACAAAGGTCAATGGGATGGCCTCAAGTGCCACTGCCACAGTACCATCTATGGATCCCAGTGCGAGTTTGCTGTGGAAAAGGTGGAACTGAGTGAGTTGCCCGAGTCCCGCCCTATGTACTTTCTCCTGGACGGTGCCCCTGACTCTCCCTGGGCCCAGCCCTGTGGTTGGCCTGGAGTGATCAATACCTGCACCCCTGCCTTATCTCCCAGGCCTTCTCCCATCCCATCTCATGCCTCTTTTCTTTCCTCACCTCAGGAGATGGCTGAGACCACAGTCCTTCTAGGACCTCTTCCCAGTCTGAACTGCTCAGAACTATATTAGTTTCTAATTGATATTGTAAGAAACTTCCACAAACTTAGTGGCTGAAACAACACAAATTTCTTTATTTGGCAGTTCTGTAGGTTAAAAGTTCAATGTGGGCCTTGTTGCACTAAAAGTAAGGTTCTGACAGGGCTTTGTTCCTTTTCAAAGGATCTATTTCTTTACCCTTTCTAGATTCTAGATCCTTCCACACTGATTGTCTCAAGACCCCCTCTCTCCATATTCAAAACCAGCAATATTGCATTTATAACTTTCTTCCACCCTCACATCTTCCTCTGACCAATTCTGACTTTTCCTGCTCCCTCTTCCACTATTAAGGACTTTGTGCTTATATCGGGCCCATCTGAATAATTTATGTTGATTTTTCACATATTAAAGTCTAAAGTCAACTGATTAGCAACCTTAATTACATCTGATTACATTTGATTCCTCCTTGCCATGTAATATAACATATTCATAGGTTCTGGGAATTAGGACATAAACATCTTTGGGGGCTATTAATCTGTCTCCCACTGGGGCAGACAAGGGAGAGACCACAGGTCTGACTTCTGTGTATCCTGACTTCTTTCTTTCCCCCATCTCAGGACAACTTATCCCATAATTCCTACATCTCTTCCTCCTGCTATTCAGTTAGTCCTCAGAGAACATGGGGAGGGGCATGGCAAGAACCTCTGGGTTGGGGTGGTGGTGGTGATGTCAGATAGAAGTGTATGGTGTAGATGGTGATTAGAACAGAGCATGCTGTGTGCAGAAATGGTGGACACTGAAGTGGGCATGGAGGTGTCTGTCCAGCAGACATTCACCCCAGACCTCAATGATAACACTTCTGAGGCCTATATAGATTTCAGCAACACCTTCAAGAATCAGGTGAGGAGAAAGGGGAGGGGACTCAAAGGTCCTCACCTGGAGCTGAGCTTGGGCTCCTGAATGACCTCAGGTCTGGAGGTTTAGACATGAGCCCAGAGATCCTTGGCATTTCAAATGAAGAATGTTTACGGAAACATGCAGGGGTTCAAGGATGTGGAAATCCTGTCCCTGAGGTTAGAGACTCTTCTAAGGTCACAGAAATAGTGTTAGGTGAGGGGAGTGGGTGCGAAGAAAGGCTGAGAAGACATCCCTTGGTTTTGGAAATCATCAGATTTCATAAGGAGAGGGATGAAGAGAGTATGCAAAAGAATCACTCCATGGGGGGCATTTTAAAATCCCTACCCAAGGATATACTTATTAACTTTAGAGAGGGAAGAGTGGGGGAAGAGAGACAAGACAGATAGATAAAGAGAGAGAGAAACATCAATGTGAGAGAGAAATATCGATTGGTTGCCTCTAGTAGGTGCCCTGACCAGGGACCAAACCCACAACATTTTGGTGTATGGGACTATGATCCAACCAACAGAGCCACCTGACCAGGGCCATGGGGGATTTTAGAGATTATTTTCTGGGGTAATTTCTCTGTAAGAGTAAAACCACCATTACCTTTTTAAGTGCATTGTAAGTAGAGGGACTGCATGGGACATGCAGTGAGGTGGTGCACGTGGGCTGGTGGGAAGCCTGGTGTCTGGACTGTAGATTGTCTCTCTCTGACTGGCATCTGGTCTGCTGGGTGGGTCAGTATGAGTGAGGCAGAGAGTCCAGGATGGCCTGGTTTGGTGATGGCTTGAAGAAATGCAAAAGAACGGCAATCATTCCTTGTTCTGCCTTCCCAGACTGACCAACTCAGGGATGCTGGCAGCTCCTTCTGAATGTAATGTCTGAAATCCCAACTCATTGTCTCTGGCCCCCTTCTTCCCAATATGTGTACCTATGGTTGGTCCTGGAGGTGTCCTGCTAAGAATCATGTGTCCCAAGCCTGGGTACCATTCAAGGCCCCTGATCCCCTTGACCCTCTCAGGAATGGAAGCATCGTGGTAGACTATTTGGTTCTGTTGGAGTTGCCTTTCAGTGTCCAGCTGGAGAATGAGTATGAGAAGATGAAGACAGCCCTGAAGGAGGATCTCCAGAATGCCAGCAAGAACAGCTGTCTGAATAACCAGAGTGAGTTGAGGCTGTGGGCCTTGGGCTGGAGGGAGGGGTCAGTGTCCCAATCGCCATCCCAGCCTGTACTAGTTCAGACAGGGGTCTCCTGGGTTCAGGTGCCAACCTTAGGATATCTCCAGCAAGTTTTGAGAAGGGACACAGGTCCACAGCTAACTGGGTCAAGAATGGGGCTAAGGAAGAACTTGACAGAACCTGGATTCTGGGGAAGAGACCCATGACAGTTCTCAAGGCTTCCAGGATTGCTGAAGACTCCTGGTTAATCATGGATATGATGAGGGAGGCCAAAGGAGCCTTCCCTTGCAGCCCATCCACACGCTCCCCTTACTGGCAGAGCCCTTGCTGCCATTCACTGTGCTTGCCCTGCTTCCTTGGCCATGAACCCTTGACCTTTCCCACCCAATTCAACCTGTGTCCCCCCAGCCCTGTGTTATAAGCATGACTCCATCAAGGTGAACAACAACATCACCACGAAGCTGACCCTGGGAGGTGAGGGAAGGGCAAAGGGCTGAGTGGCCCCTGGAGGCCATGACTCCTCTCACCAGGGACATCTGCCCATCAAAATTTCCTGGGGATGCTGGAGAGACCTTCTGGGGAGGCATGTGAGGTGGCCCAGCAGTACTGCCCTTCCTGGGCAGCAAGGAAGGTGAGGAGAGGGTGTGGATCCTGGGGGCCTGACCTGCCCTCCCTTCATGTAATCCTAGGGTCTACCCCACAACACCCCACTCTTGGAAATGTGGTCTAGACATTCATTTTCAGAATCATTATAGCTAGGGCCCTGAGTTGCGTGGATGAGGTCACTGTCTGCCTCTACCCTCCCCATCCCATCTTCCCAGCCATCTGTTGCTGCACAGCTGCCCAGGATTTCTACTTTCCCTTGGTGGAGGACAGCCAGCTCCACTGCGTTACCAAATGCACATCGGAAGTGGATGGCACCATTGACCGTAACCAGGGCCTGTGCTTTCTAGAGAAAAGTGGTCCGGCTTTCCGGTGAGGCCCGCCTACAGCCTGCAGGGTCTACCAGGCCCCCAGCCCCTCTAAGCCACACCCATTCTCCTTCGGGTGGAGTCCCGCCCACCTGCTAGCTCCTGCAGGGTAAAGGTGCTGAATGACCCTGCCAGGGAGGCGGTGAGGGTCTGAGGCCTGAGGCTGCCTCCTTCAGCTGCTTCGCCACGAACATGCACTGGTTCCTGGGCTCGCTGCGAGATGTCTGTCTCCTGGAAGGCGCTGATTGGGGGCCTAGCGGGGGCCGTAGCCCTGCTGCTGCTGGTGGTGGCATTCGGCATCTTTGTGGTGGGTCCCCAAAGGAGGCGCTGCGAACGTGGAGACTGGTGAGCAATCTGAGGGTGGGGGTGAAGGTGGTAAAGGGGTCTCAGATGGGACAGCCCTGCCCTGACTACGTGCACCTTGATTCAGGTCTGGGGACACGAAATGGTTCCTGATGTGGGATGAGGACTCTGTGGGAACTTTTACCAACTTGGGCTTCCGAGACGACAGCACAGGTGAGTACTTCCCCTTGGGGGAGGAGCAGGAGTTTCCCTCAGCACCACTTCGGCCAGAGCAGGACCCGAATATCTCCCTCGCTCAGGACAGACGTATACCTCCTGCTAGGGAGCTCAGCTCGCTGCTTGCCCAGTCCTCGCTGTGGAACATCCAATGCCCTGCACAGGCCACTCCAGCAAGGCAGGCACAGGGGCAGAGGAGCAGCCTGGACCCTGCATGACTCATGTCCCCACCCCTGCCTCTGCCCCATTTTCCCTTCCTCTTTTCTATCTCTCTAGCCAAGAAGGAAAACTTCCATGTGGCCTTGGAGAATGTGCCCACCAATGTAAGGGTGAGGGGGCAAAGGGAGGATGGTTGGTAAGGAGCTCTTCTAGGTCCAGCTCCACATGCCCTACTCCTACAGGGGCTGAGCTAGGACCAGGAGGCAGAGACCTCCCAGCCAGTCTGAGCAAGGTGGCTCCCTGTTCTCACTCCCTCTCTCATGCACTCTGCGGCAGGTACGCACCCAGACACCTGAGGTGGCCTTGTCCTGGATGTGAGCCCTGCACTACCCCTCCACACTGTCCCAGACAGCAGGAAGGAACCACCTACACTGCGTCCATTTCCAGAGATGGTCCCGGTCTCATGCAGCTCAGTGTCCTGGTTTCCTTGGGCAAAATGAGAACATCCTCTGACATCTTTCTCCCGCCTTGGGTGAAACCTACCTGGAGACTAAGTTCAGATCCAGGCTCCACTGTCGAACCTTGGGCAAGTCAGTAACTTCTCTGAACCTGTAAAGTTAGTATAGCATACTTGTTCTGATGCCTTGCACAGTTATTATGAAAACCAGAAGTGCTCAGTCAGTCCTCTGTCCCACTGTACCTTCCTGTGTCGGCCCCCATGCTTAGGTGGCTTCCTTCCTTCCCCGTGTCCTTGTCTGAGTCTCCGGCCTTAGTCTCCATTTTCCTGTGAACATTCCTATTGCCTGTTCCTCAGCCTATACTTATAGCCAGCCCGAAGCCCATCTCAGCCTCCTTCCCTCCTTATATAACTTCCTGCCCTACCCCTTGCTCCCATTTCATAAATCATCTCCCCCTCTGAACCTACTTCTTAAATCACTCCTCCCCCACATCCCAGCCCCCAGTGTAGTCTCCTCCAGGACCATACACTCCCCTTCCGCATCCTTGTACCTTCAGCCCTAAGTCCTTACTCTCCACTCCAGTGCTCCAATCTGGTATCTTCCTTCCTCCCCCACACCCCTGTCCTTAGATGGTGTAGATGCCCCTTTCATCTTAGGACTCTGCAGTTGTGTTCCCCAGGCTCAGGTCCCCCATTCTGAGGCTCCATCCCTTCCTCTCCCCCTAGGGATCTTGGATCCCCATGGGTGGGGCATTGGGACATGGGTTCCCCCAAGTCCTCAAAGGTGAGGGCAAGTAGGCCCCTGAGGGGAAGCTCCCTCAACCCGCCCCTCCTCATTTCCCTCATTCTCGCTCCCCTCCTTTACTGCCGCATCCCCCTTCTACCCGCTTCCCAGCTCCTCCTCCTTGCCCTCTTTCTGCTCCTACCCCTGTCCCTGCAGTAACCTCTGAGGCCAGAAGCCCCCAGCCTCCTGAGCAGGAAGGTCTCTTTTGGGGCAGGAAGCCTCCAAGTCTCTAATTCTCCCGTGGAACACACACAAAAAAACACTTATTGTAAAAGAAGCTGCTCTGTGTCTTTCTCCTTGCCTCCTGGGGCCTCCACTTGGGTTGGGGAACAGGGACGTCTGGAGGAGATGTTATAAGAGAGCCTGGGAAAGCTAGTTTCTGGGGGGCCCATTGTCTTAGGGAGTGGGAAACCCCTCCATCAGCAGCACATGGGTGCCAGTTGGGTTCATTATCTGTACTTTTCCCTTCTTGACCTCAGGAGCTTAGGGCTGAGTCAAGGAAGTAGGTAGCTCAGACTGGGTGAGCGGCTATTTGTGCTGATGGGTAAGCTGGGCCTCCCAAAAGATCTTGAATCTTGAGACTCTCTAACCCTGGGTGGCAGACACACTCATACCAGGGCCTGCCATGCCCAGGGCTTGGGCCCTTCTGCTCCCTCTATTGTAGGCAGCCAGGCCTGCTGAACTGGAACTGAGGGCAGTCAGAGCTGGCAGTGTGAGGCTTTTTGAGTGAGGGTTTGGAAAAGGTTCCTGGGACCTTTTCCCAGGACAGTCAAGGGCCTGGCAGTGGCCAGGGATGGCAATCAGGAACATAAAGCCTCATGTGTGAATGGAGTCCCACCCAGGGGAGAGGCTGATGGTTGGAGGCTTTGGGGAAGGTTTGCACTACTTTGAAAAAGGCCAGCTTGAGGTGGGTGATAGTGAAGGAAGGCTAAAGGAAGGAGGGGCTTCTCAGGAGTTGTGGTGGAGGGTTCTTCACTCAGCCCAGCCTGTTGCTGGCTGCTCCTTTCAGGGTTTGTCTCCCCCTCCCTTATAGTCACCTCTCCCTGGCATTTCCTGGCTCCTGACTGTTGGCAACCATCACACACTCACAGCTCTGGCTTCCCGCTCCTCCCTTTGGCTCAGCCCCACCTGTGTCTCTGGCTTACTAGCAAGACCCTGGCTCTGGGTGGTCAGCTCTCCAGGAGTTAGAAGGCCTCCCTTCTAACAGGGTTGACAGGCTGCTCTTTGTCCAACTTTTGTGGTCACTAGGTACCACTCACCCAGCCCCATTATTGCACCTCCACCCTGAGCCAGCCACTGTCTTTCCCCAAAGTAAAGGTCCCCAGGGTCCTTTTAATATGTGTTCCCTCACTGGGAGGTGCTCATTTCTTGGTCCCTCCTGACAGGCGAAGGTCCTGCAGCCAGGGCTCTGCTCTCTGGGAGATGCTGGTGATTTTGCATTTTTCCACTGGTTCTCTGTCTCTGAGCACTCACCACTGCCATGACACCTGATGAGTGAGACCCAGCCTGGCCCAGAGCTCCCTGGTGGTCCCTGCATGTGCTGGCCTCAGGCAGGGCTGCAGCAGGTGTCTGGCCTTTATCCTTCTGCCCTCCCTCCCTTTGCAGGGCATGGGGTTCCCAAAGGGCTGGACACCGGCCATGACCGCATCCTGCCTTTGGGAGTGCTGAAGTGGTCACCCCAGAGACCTATGGGTACAGAGGAAGAGGCATGGCCTATGGTTGTAGAGTTGATGGCCAGCACCAAGTGCCTGGTTCAGGGGCTGAGTTGGGGCTGAAATCTACCCCCTAGGCCCTCCAGGCTTTCCCTGGGAGAAGAGGGACTTTTTCTTTACCTAGACGGTGGTCTCTGCCTGCCTCATCCTGGGGGCTGCTTCTGCCCAGAAGGCTAGGTCTTTCTGACCTCACAGAGGCACTCACTATCCAGGCTGCCAGCCCTGGCTGGGGAGGCAAGGAGTCCATGGGCATCTGGCAGCTTCCCTGCTTGCTTGGGGAGAGCTTCAGGGGCCCCTAGGAGAGCCCCCTCTAATTGGAAATGGCTGAGGGGCTGAGGGGGAGACAAGCTCCGGGCCCCTTGTTGAACCTTGTCAGGGCCATTTGTCTGGGAAGTGGCAGATTGAAAGCTGATTTCCAGTGGATTCTCCCATGCAGAACAGACTCCCTTGATTACCCAGAGACAGGGAAGAGCTCTGGGGAGGAGGTGGGCAGGGCAGACACTGGGGCCAAGGGCTATGGGGGATCAATCCCAGGGTCCCAGGTAGAAGAGGCAGCTCTTGAGCTGAAGGAGCTGCAGGGTGTTCAAGGAGGGATGGCAAGTGGGTAGGAGTGTCTGCAGGAGGGAACTAGGCCCTCAGAGTCCACCTCAGCCTGACGTGCTGACGTACCTCCTTCTCCCTTACCCAGACATGCTGAGTGGCAGTGCCTCAGGTCAAGAAGGGCTCAGGGGAGAAGAGCAAGGGCTCTGGGTGTTTAAAGCATGTGGATTTAGGGGCATTATAAGAATACATTAATTACAGCTATATTAGCTTTGAAGTAATAAACAGAGTATAGGCAGCTATGATGGGGCATCAGTGGGGATGTCAACCTCAGGAGGGGTCCTACCTGTTCCCACTCCTTCGGCAGACTCCGGGCCTCACTCTAGCCAAGCTGTCTGAGAACAGGGATGGGGGTGGCGATGATGACGATGGTGAAGGGCCCAATAGTCAGCAAGAGCACAGCCTCTGTGTGTCCAGCTGTGCATTAAGAGAGAACCACCCTCAGAAGTAGAGGCTCCTGTTCCTAAGGCACTGACACAGGTGAATCCATTAGCATGCAAGAGTTAAAAACCATCTATCTATGATAAGCACAGAAAGCTGTCAGGGGTCGGGAGGTTGGGCAAATAGGGTCATTCCAAGGACCAGAAAATCTGATGATACCTGGAGGCCAACTGTTCCCATTCACAGAGGGCTCTGCTATTTACAAAGGCATTTCAGAGCTCCTATGACTCTCACAAAGGAAATTGTGTAGGCGAGTGAAGGCAGACAGGAAATTGAGGCTCAGAGGGGGTGAGTGGCCTACCTGGGGCCACACAGCAAATAATTAATATGCTGTTACCCGTTTAACACTAGGTTTGTGCTGCACCGTCCCACACTGAAGGACCTCAGCCCCCTGCAACACCCTCTGTGCCTGAGTGTATTCTGAGTTTCCAGGGAGGGGTTTGAATATTGGGTCAGAGACTACCAGTAGCATCTGTAGTTTTCTTAGTTTCTAATCTGCACCCTCCCCTGGGTAGTCCAGTTCACTGTGAGGACTGATGAGGTTTTGCACAAGTAAACAGTAAGGCGCACAAAAGGCAGTTTGAGTAGGTAGGAAACACATGCATGGCTAAGCAGGGGAGCCGAGGGGTGGGAGTTCCTGGAAGGCAAGGGGACGTGTACTGCATGGGTGTGAGTTTCGAGGGGGTAAGTTCAGTGATGAGGGGGCATTTTTGTGTGACAGGAGCATTAAAGCCAAGTGGAGGTTTTCAGACACCAGAGGACCATATGGGTGGGTTGCCCCATGCCAGAGCAGATCTGAAGAGAAGCAGTGAGAGCTGTCCTTGAACGAGGTCACGAGGGTCCAGCTGGGGATTCAACTCCCTGGGAAATGGAGAGGAAAGTTCTAGTAGGTGATGGGCTGTGAGGGCACCGGGGTAGATGGTCCTAGATCTTATGTGACTGAGAGGGGAGGGGCCTGTTTTGGGTGGTTGACAAATCAATAGGTGGACCTATTGATTTTGGGTGACCATGGAGTTTCTGGGTGGAGCTGTTCTGGAGGCCTCGGGCTCAGGAGGGAGCACAGGAGTAGATTTCTGCATTCCCCATTAATTGCAGGGGCCACAAAGTTCAGACAATGCCAGATCAACATGGGGCTTGGAACCTGTACCCTGTTTTGTGTACATAAAGTTCCAAAGTGCTCTTAGTCAGGGTTGGGGAGGGGAGCTCCTCAAGATAACAGTGGGAGATGGGGACTGTCCTGGGGGGTCTGGGGCAGGAGCTGAAAGGGGTCAGAGCTCTGTAGCCTAGAAAGTTGAAGGTGGAAGTGGAAATGATGAGCAAGTACAAAATCAGGAAGAATGTGGTAGTGGTGAGAATAGATTTGTCCACAATAGACAAGGG